TATTCTAATAATGTCTTAAAATGACAACATTGACGGCCAAAGTTGTCATTTTAGTCACATTTGTTACAGGGTCTATCTCAAAATCAAAACTAATTATGTGCTTTATTTAAACAACAATTAACTTGTGACGAAAGCAAACAAAATAATGGCTTTTCCTGTTCCGGTTTGTTTTACGGAACTTTTCGTGTGCAATTCCGACTCGCACTTGGCTGGTTTTATTTTCAATCAGGAAAGTAACTATCACAAGTTTTCAAATAAAATTTCTCAGCTAAAGTATAGCTGAAATAATAACTATAAAGGTTGTTTGTACTAAACTCATTTGCTATGTCGGACTGCTGCAGTCTCCTTAAAAAATATTCTAGATTCTATAAATTCTTATACTCTCCTGGTTCAGCATCAGCCCTAACTAAGTTTCGGTCAAAGATTTAAGTGGGATTTGATTTTTCAATTAAACTTGATGATTTGCATTTGGAAACTCAATTATGACGACTTATCTGATCGCAAATGTTGATACAGCCTTAACAACAGGAACAATTTGACATCGCATCATCGATTTATAACCTAACGATTCAGTCGCACACAGCACTAATATAATTAACATATATAAGCGAATCTGATTAAATTTGAGGTGTTTGTAGATGTCATCCAAAAACATGTTTCAGCTAAGTGAGTATGATAAATATTTAATAAGTACTAAATTTGGCACTTACGTGATATTCAAATTGTCATATTGTATTGTTTATTCAGGTCGCTCACTGAATAAACAATACAACATGACAATTTGAACCCACAAGAAAATACACTTAAAGTCACTGAAGAATGCATTATAAAGCGAGTTTGAGTTTCCTCTACATCCAAGGTCATGAACAGTACTTGTCCGTACATTGTCTTGAGTATAATTCATAAGATAATAGTCTAGTCTAGATTGTTGACTAGTATGACGAAAGAAGAGAAGCATTTAATGAGTGCGAACTGTGATTGTGGAAGTTAGTTAGTTTTGTACTTACGGTATATTCAGATGGATGACTAGAAATGCATTATCTTGAGCTCCTTCGTGTTTCGAAGAACATTATCTGTTGATCGTAGGTACGCCTACGTTATGTAACTCTCTTTAAGTTAAAAGACATCATTAAGACAATCGTTTCAAGTAGTAACTTAATAATAATCAAGTTTAGTACCGAGTTATCATTATACGTGACCCAAAAATACATTGTTTTGAATTGAAGTAACAACAGTTCAAATCGTAAATTCTAAGGGAGTGTACACTCATGTCGAATAGTTAGGTGTCTCGCATAAATCTTTGTCTACCCGGTTCACAAAGCACTTCGCGCAAACACTTCGGAGAATCCAATTATGCAGTGGAACAGCGTGAGGCTTGACTTGACTAGACCGCTCTCGACTTTTTACGTGGAGTGGAGGTTAAGATAAGTCAGCCAGAACCATTTTCCTTAATTTTGCAAACACACATTATTTTTTAACTCGAAGTACCAACATTATATTATGAGTATAAATGTTTCCTTGTCTTCGATAAAAATATCATTCATAAAAATGATAGCAATCGGCATTCTAAAAAAAGATATGAATGACAAATAAGTTTACCTGTTTACTAAAGTTGCTTCAGACAATTCTGTTTCGGAGAATATGATTTTGAAATTCATAGTGCAAGGTCATCCACTTTCTTGTTTAGATATCATCAGATCTTTCCCAATATCAATAGCATTTCTTTTCCACTACTTATTGTTATCTACGAATGTTATATTAATTTGCAATAATACACTAAAACTGGTATACCACGCAGATGACTGCTGGTTTCCTATTTAAATTTCCGTCCACTCCTCACCAATTTTATTCTTGCTACACAATCTATACTAGGTAGGTATACCTTTTTCAAAAATCGGTTCGATCGTTGGCGTGACCTATATACCTTCCGAAATTATATTATTAGTACTTGTAGATTTAAATATCAAAGAATTGTAATATAAAGGAGTTTATTATTCTACATTTTTTAGGGTTCCATACCTCAAAAGGGAAAAAACGGAAATCCTATAGGATCACTTTGTTGTCCATGGGTCCATCTGTCTTACGGCTTCGACAGAAAGTCCTTTATATCGGGAACGCGTGGAGTTATAAAGTAGAAATTTAAAACAAAAAACTCAGTTCTACAACCCCTTGAAGTTGTGAAAAATCTAACTTTTAAGTTAACGTAAAAAAGATACGTCTGTTTATGTTGCGTGCCTACACATTTGTACTCACACCTGTCTGGTTTTTTATTTATATAATAATAGTAATCATCTTTATTCTATAACACCACAAAGAACATAAAAGTAAAATTACACTGACAGAGAGACATTACACAATGGGCGGCCTTATTGCTTAATCTTAATATATATAAATCTCGTGTCACAATGTTTGTCCTCAATGGACTCCTAAACCACTTAACCAATTATAATAAATTTCGCACACCATGTGCAGTTCGATCCAACTTGAGAGATAGGATAGTTTAAATCTCAAATTATAGTCGCAATTTTATTTTATTGTAAATTATTACTTTTGGGCGGTACAAGTTTGCCGAGTCAGCTAGTAGCATATATGATGGAAAATGAAATAAGTGTTTATGAACATAAAAGGGCGGAAGGGTGTAAAAACAATATTATAGAATAAAATAAGAAAGGTAATTAATTGTAATTAAATGCATATTTATATTTAAAACAAAAAAAGAAATGAAAAAGGTATGTTTGAACGTAAGGATAGGAAATGACGCTTAACCTGATCACGGATCGAGTCCAGAGTGCGAGCCCTTCGAATAGATTCACAGAGTAGGAGTAAGAAAGGAAATCAGGGAAGAGGAGCGTTGAATGCGTTGTGAAGAGGATGAAAAGAGAAGCATTGTTTTAGATAAGGTGAAGAACCTACGTAGGAAAAGTACAGAATAAAGGAGCGTAAGAGAATGTGAGTCCCTGCGCCGGCGATTAAGGAGCCAGTTGAGTTTCGAGCGGAAGTGTGATGGTCAAATTTACGAAGATTATATATATATATATTTCAATGACACTGTTGCCCAACTATGTAACTAACCATCTTCATCTTAGCAATTACAAGGTTGTCTTCGTGGACAATATTGCAAACAATACTGCAACAGTCCACTTACTAGAGATAACAAACGCATGAACACCATTATTTGTAAATATGGCGAGATAATTTTCCACGATTAATCTACCAGTAAAGGCCAAATAATGATTACCTAGTAAAGATTATAATTGTGTAGGTCTTTCGTAATTTGTTTTCAGTAAGCATGTAAACAAAACAGTTTTTAGAGCGAAGTAAACTGTGTGTTTTTGAGTACACATCGCGTACACGTGCCTTGAAACAAATTATTATACGAAAAGCTTAGGTTCGTAATTTTTTTTTTTAACTTTTTAATGTCATATTTTAAATTATCATTTTTTACTTAAGCCTGAGAGCGGTCAAAAGATAAGGTTAAGGTATAGTTAAAATAAGAAATCTTATGTATAAAATTCTCGTGTCACAATGTTAGTTACCATACTCCTCCGAAACGGCCTTCCCGATTTTTATGAAATTCCGAAGGTCTGAGAATCGGCTACTATCTATTTTTCATATCCTTAAGTGATAATGGTTTTCCACCAGTAATGTAGTGTTCTGAAACCTACCACTATTCTACTACTACCAAAATTCAAACTATTGGGTATTGTAACGTAGTGTTCTCATATGGGTTTCTAATGTTATCCCAGGAAATTGATAGAACACTACGTTACACACCCCTAAAAAATTTTTGGACAATATTTTTTTTTTATAATGTGGTATTAAAAAATACATACAACCCTAAGTTTTCTATTCTACTATCTGCCCCTATTTTCATAGCGAAACGAAATTCGCTGGGTCAGCTAGTATAAAATAACATTTTCTCTTTCGCGTTCATAACGCTAACGTTCGTAACTATATGAATCGATGCTCTTTATCAAAATCTCTTGTAAACCTCCTTATTCCAATAACTATTTTGATAGTATAAACAGAACCCCTCTTATGCGGCTAATGATGATTGTAGTGATGCAGGACTACACGCCCGGAAATGTAACAGCTATATAACGATGGGATTCATTAAGGAAAGAGGCTTTTTCGTCCCTTCCTGTGTCGGTCTCATAATAATATTATCCTTACAAGTGACAGGCTCAAAATATTACTTAACTTAATTAGGCAAGAAACTGTGGAGCTACCCATAAATTTGAATTAAACTTATAGCTCAGAATTTTTAAATACTGCTACTAAAACATTTGTTTATCACAAAAAATAGACATTTAAAAAAAATCTACGTTTATGTCAAATTTTTAGGACATTTTCTTACCTTTTCACATGAAATCGAAACTGACACGGCTAAAGAAGGTCATACCATAAAGTTACTATGTGACAGAGGTGGGGCATAGCGTATTTTTCTGCTTAAATTAGAGAGCTCGTCTGAAAAAGCTATCTGCAGATTCCAGAGCCGCCAGCCCATAGAGTAGCACAGATGCGACCCGGAAGGAAGTAGACGTCTTACTATACATCCTCATTCTGGCAATTTTTACGAGGGGTGAATTTTCACACAAATGCTTGAGACCCAAGCACGAATTTTGACGGCTCCGTAATCGTATAGCCATCATCAAATTTCATATGGAAGGAGCCAGTTTGTTCGTACATACGTCCGATAGCGCGCTGCTTTGATTTCATATAAACTTTGACGATGCGATACGATTAAGGAGCTGTCAAAATTCGTGCTTAGCGTCTGTTCTGCTTTACATTTACATTAAATAAAAATAACTTTAATTATCACATTATATACCGTTACCTCACCCCCTTCTGACAGGATAGAGTCAAATTTCTAAAGCTCCATCAATAGGTCTAATATGGCCAATAGCCATTTCACGCTTCCTACATAGAAAATACAAGATAATTAGCTAATCAATAACTGTCATGTATGTAACTCATGTCATAAATTTCTCCTTTTGCAGGGTCTTCGGGTGACTACTATCATAGGATCGTTTGGGACCTGCGCAGGGGCATGGCTGAAAGTCCTCTCAGTGCCGCAGGACATGTTCTGGCTTGGCTTCATGGGGCAGACCGTGGTGGCCATCTCACAAGTCTTCATACTTAACGTGCCGCCGAGGCTCGCCGCTGTCTGGTTCGGCGCGAACCAGGTGTCTTCTGCTTGCAGTATAGGCGTATTTGGAAACCAGGTGAGTCCGATGACGAGACCGAATCATTAGAGAAAACATAGTCAGTTTCGGATAGACTGAAACATCGAAAGTAGCCATAATCATCACATGAGCGTTATTTATATTTAGTTATTATATCGGTAAGAAGCTTCTACAAAGTGTTGGTTGTTGTTTGTTCTGCCACGATTTTCTTCCGCACCGGGCGCGGCTGCGGCTGTGGGATCGCAACTGGCGAATAATGCGAAATTCTAGGTAAAACGCAAAAGCAAATCTCACAACGCGATTTACCCCCGCAGAACGCGCGGGTGTTTGCGACATCCGCTGCTCGCGGACGGGCTGCGGCGGACGCGATTTCCCGCAGACACAGCGGGTTTCGCCCGATCTGAAAACTGCGATAGCGTGATTTTTGAAATTTGTAATGAATAAAATAACTCTGCGTGTTGAAATAAAACAGCTCTACGGCGGCGGGTGCGCAGGCAAAAACAGCTGCGTGAGTTCTTAGCCTTAAACCAAACTGTAGATTTGTTAGTTAATTTTTTTAAGAACTTTTAGTTAGTTATAAGCTTTACGCAACACTTAATTTTTGTTGTAGGAGCTTTTTACATATTATTAGAAAACTTAAAGAAACTATTGATAAAAACGGCGTCGTTTTCAAATTGTAGCGTGGGTGACCAAGGGAAATAAGGACTCTGTGTTTAGTTCAATAATTTTGGTCAATAATTGTATAAAAACCTACATCTATATGAGCGTTATTTAACATGTTCCTGAAACACTGCAGTATCGCGAGAGACGTTATTATAACGCGACCTAGGGGAGTTTTAAGATTTTTTTAAAGTAGTCCTTAGATTTTTTGTTTTCTTTTTCCCTTTATCGACGTTATCAAACAAATTCAGTTCTTAATTAATCGTGAACCCTTTTTTTTCATTATCCTCAAAAAGGTCACGAAACAATTAACCCGTAGCTGTTTATTTATCCTGACATTGAAATGAAAAACAGTACTATTAACAACTTCGTTATTGGCTTTGTGACAAGCTCCACGCTTTGTCTTGTCAAAAATGGAAGTCTGACATCCATAAAAATTAAATAATAATCCTCTTTTTATACATTTTCTAGCTTTCTTTTATATTTGAACGGGTTTTTCTGAATCATTGCCATTTATATCCCTAGATGTTAATATTCTTCTGACTTCATCGTAATTATAATTTTCAACACCACAAATATTGTAATTGTACTATAATCACAATCATTCTGCACTCATAAGCCATGAAGCCATTATATTGTTTCGTTAAGAATTAAAATTTACCGTGTCTGTTCTGTATTAAGAGTAATAACAATAAGCTGATGTTGATAATGATATCTAGATTTTTAAAACTGTTGCACTAAATTATTGTACGATAGATGAACTCCAGTGTTGAAGTGTTATGTACACCAAGTATCGAGGTACTCAAAGGTCCAGTCCCTATAGTATGAGCACCACAATTTATATTTTGGATGAGCGTGATAAAAACGTGCTATATATGAATCATATCGATACGATTAAAGCTGAGACGTGGTCTCTGAATGTCGGCCACATAACAAAACTCAGAGTTGCGCAGTGTGCTATGGAGAGGGCTATGCTCGGTGTTTCCCTATGTGATAAGATCCGAAATACGGAGATCCGCAGAAGGACCGGTGTGTACGACATAGCCCGAAGAGTTAGCACGCTGAAGTGTCAATGGGCAGGCCACATCGCTCGAGGATCTGACAACCGTTGGGTAAGAAAGGTCCTCAAGTGGCGACCACGTACCGGACGACGCAGCGTGAGGCGGCCCCCATCAAGGTGGACTGACGACATCCTCAAATGTGCTGGGAGCCGCTGGATGCGGATAGCACAGGACCGCGCATTGTGGCGTTCTATGGGGGAGGCTTATGTCCAGCAGTGGACGGAGAAAGGCTGATGGATGGACGGATGTTGGATGATATATCATATTATTACAGTCAATCTGTCGAAAAAAAAATCGTTTCAGTGAAAAAAAATCCTAAAGGGTAAGTCTTGTTTTTTCTGTTGCCAAATGACGTCAGTAAGCCACCTTGGCGATGCGCATGTTCAACTCGTAGGCGTTTTTTGAAAAACTCAAAAAACCCTCAAAAATTTTTTGAAACGATTTTTTCTTATTTTGTATGCATTTTAGAAACTTTTTTTTACCATAATTGTAGAGGGCGTAGAGTACTACAATTTATGTCATTGTTGCAATCTCGTACAACAAAAAATTCGCATTGTAGATGGCGCTAAAGTCTCAAAAAAGTGTGTTTTCACTTTTTCACCCTGAAAATATCATTTTAATGGAAAACTTTAAATGGAAAAGTTGTTCCGTACATAATTACCAACAACTTATGTATAAACAATTTTTTTGTATTACTTACCGTTTTCAAGTTATAAATTGCGCAGGTATGAAAAACCCAATAGAGCAGTTTTGGGCAAGAATGCATGAATTAATTGCAGGAACAAAAGTAGTTGATAGAAAAATGATTATTTTGTCGAACATATCAGATAAAAATTCTAAATTGTTATTAACTTATTTCCTGCTGTTAATGCGTCCGAGCAACATTTGGAAAAAAAAAATTTCAGATGTGCAACTTGAATTAATACATGATAATCGCTTCAAAGTTTAATAATAAAGTTTAACACCAAGAATAATGTCTCCATAGGACCGAAAAAATTACCGTTAGTAGCACTGTGTTGTATACGTAGCGCTGTATTGCACTGTAACTTGAAAACTGTAAGTAATTTAAAAAAAAAATGTTTATACAAAAGTTGTTAATTGTATTAGATTAGTTTCCAGAAGTTAAACCACAATGTTAATTTTCCACTTGCTTTATTCAACTTGTACTTCACTGTAATATAAACTAAAATTATTATAACAAGATTATTTAGCAGCAACACCACGTTAAATTTTGGACCACTATTCACGACGAAGGCTCTCGACGGAATACCGTATTTATGACCGCTCCACTCGCTAGTCCGTCCCCCCTTCACGTCACGTGATAAGATGGTGGGGAGGTAAGGTGATGTGGTGTGATTTAGCATAGACAAACTAAGATAAAAACAATAACTGTACTATTGACCGATCTGTAAAAAAAGCTAATATTATAAAAATGCTAACAGCTCGGCCATCCTGCATCAAGCGAGACCCTTCGCGATTTGGTTTACAATAAAGACAGGTTTATTATTATATTTCTTTCTTAGGTTTTCACGCACATCACTCATTAAATAAAACTAGTTTTTACGGGTTAATGCACGAAACTTTATTTATTTATGACGTTTCGTAGCCTTTACAGGCTTCGTCGTCAGAATAAAACTTTTATTTAATTTGTCGAGCTACCTTCGAAAGACTTTTATTGAGCGTTTGGTTATTTCATTGTTCGATTTTTAAGTTTTATTGTCTATGTATGAATTTATTATTTAATTTACTTAATAAAGTATTTTATTTAAAATTCTTGTTTTTAATTTTGAGTTTATTTATTTGACCCTAACTACCGTAAACTACCACCGGTTCCAAAATTGGGAGACCTTCCTGAGAAGAACCGGCGAAACAAACTCAAGAGAGGCTTTCTATCTCCTTCTTATGTTAAATTATGCAAACAAAAATAACTAATAGTATCTGATGGTCTTGCAGTGTGTGCTCGGGGTTGGGATTTTATCTCCTGTATAACAGGTTCCCAAGCTGGTGGTATATACCAACCATCTTCCCTATTGAAATTTGGATATTTTTTTAATCTCAATAGCCTCGCGCATCATTCGAGGAACGAACCGCCGCTCAGCTGCAAGGATCTGTGGTCTATCAAATCTAATGTAGTGGTTTGGTCCCCCTAATATTATCATATAATATTATTTTACAGTCTTATATAATTTCTCTAAAATATAATGATTCGAATCATAATTTATTTTCATATTGACATTTAAGAAATAGCAATAATAAAGCAACAAATAAACAAAACAAATTAGCTAAAATACCGTAAAATATAATTACATTCAAATAACCGTTCTAAATTATCTTAGATTCTTTTTGATTTTATAACAATGGCATACATTTTAATAAGACTATATAAAAATAACTAACACATTCAGGTACAAAGCTAAAAGTATTGAAACAAACAAAAAAAAACACTAAAAGATACACATTTTTACATTAAAGAAGACTACTTTCTTCCGCCAGAGGGCGCTTACACGCAAACACTGTCTTTGCACTAGCTCTCAATAATTTATTCGATACATTTGTACTTGTCAAGAGAATATTTTTCAAATCTTTATCAACCCAAGTGTCTCGTTATAGCGGCGAACTGTGACTGCTATCTCGCTGCTACTGTGAACTGTTTACAAGAAACTACGAATTGGTGCATTAATGGATTTACCAATCTTATGACTGACATTTTGTGATTGTTTCGTGCAGTTTGGGAACCCTCCGAGCTTTGTTGTGACACTCTGCCTGGTACAACAAGTAATTACTGTGTAATAATTGGAAAGCATTTCAAACCCAAGCGTTCAAAATTGCTTTATCATTCCAATTGATTCATCTGCAACGCCATCCATGAGGCGCCCCGCGTACGCGCTGCTCTGGAACGTGTATTGCTGTTAAGAAGCAACAGCGCCTTGACGCACACCAACGCCGCTTTTAGACCTTTAGCACTGCTTGCTGCTTTACTATTGCCACGCCTTGCCTATCACTGAACTGGAGCTACCCAACAGAGTCGTAAGAGGGCAGCATAAATACACTTACCCACCACTTTCCACAATGGATTGCAGCGCTCAGTGCAACAAGAAGATTAACTCGAAGGATGACTATATTGTGTGTAAAATTTGCACTGGAAAATACCATCGATTATGTCTAAATATAAGCAAAAAGATCCCTCTTTGACGACGGCTCAGGCGCCGGAGTCCCGGATGTGCCCAGCATGCCCGAATGCAAACACTCGACGGCGCGGCTCTAATGTTAATACACCGGTTCGCGGGCATCACCAATCTGCCCCCAACTACAGTATGA